ATTAAATTAATAACATTTCAGACATTGTTATAAATATTTTTATCTATTTCGATTTTAAAAATGTTCGAACCGTTTTAAATTCGAATTTGTTATTGCATATTGGTTTGATTATAGAATGATTGTAAATGTTCCAGAAAATTGATCAAATTGAAAATAGTTCGTTTGATTCTCAGCAATTCTCATCATTCTCAGCGGTAGGTGTTATATAACAATTACTATGGTTGTTGAAATACTGAATATAAATAGGGTTTGCTTGAAAAATCCTCGTGAGCAAAGCTGCGATAACAGCTAGTTGTATATAAAAAAACACAAGTTATTTAAGTCTTTACATATCAAAATCCAGTTCTATATCATCACAATTTCCTTAAAAATGCCTTTAAGCACTTATTTATTAGTTCCTATTATCATAAACATTTCTTATTTGTTATCCTTGACCAGTTAACAACAATTATTTATTTGTGCGTCACGTTGCATAGTGCCAAAATTGCCATTTGATCATATTTTTATTAAAGTGGCAATAAAAACCCTAGTTTGCTTATATAAACATTCAGCATGAAATTGAATCACAAAGCACACTTCAGGAAAAACAGCAAAATGTCCAGTTCCTGTGCAATGGGAGTCACCACGCCTCACAATGTCGTGACGTCACACGGTAAGTTTGGACAGGAAAGCAGAAAGTGACATTAAGAACTGAATGCAGTTTTCATGAAATGCCTCCAACTATTTATTAATCTATTACATCTTAACTATGTGCTAAACAATATTTATATATCTAGTTGTTACATACTTTGAATTAATTAAAATTAATATTTTATTATAACCGCATTATGTATCTTATTAAAATTTTTATATTACATGTGAAAAAAATGATAAGATTGCTATTGTATATTCGAATATAATTTCATACATGTGTACTCCCAATGGAAGCACCGTATTGTCGAATAAGGGACAGTTTCCATGGCAAAAATATTTGAATCGTGTAAAGCAGCCTGATTATATGCATTCATGCAGGCACTTTACAGAGCACCAACCTCACACTGTTTAGCTCATGGATGCTACAAACCAAAATATCATATAACGCTTTCAATGATTCTATCCAGGACTGACACAGCTACCCTATCATCAAATGTCACCTCACGCCATTTCTCTTTAAGTGTTACAAACATAAAGGAAAAAAAATCCAGAAAATCACATGACCAGCCTGTATGCAAGGTGTGAACCCATGACCAACTAATAACTAGATAACTATCAATTAAAATGGTTAATGGTATTTTACATATTAAAAATACATGTAAGAAACTAAACTCACATCACTGTTATTTCCAATCATCAATTTATTCCTGAAAATTAGACATGATGGAGATGTGAAGACATATTTAGTTTCTTTCATGTATTAGTAATAATATCAGTAGAGTAGAGCATCGATTATCCGAATGTCAATCAACCGAAATGTCAATTAACCGAAAGCTTTCCAGTCGGCAAATTTAAATTTCTGCTAGTGCTGTAGCGCTGCAATTTGACTGTCTTGGGCTAATCCAATATTACTTTTGTTGGTGTGCGTATTTTAGCTGGCAGCACTGGCACGACCATGAGAGGGTACTTAAGGACATGCCAGGATTTGAATGAATTTCAACATGGGATAAGTTAATATATTTTTTCATACATAATCGGTTATCCGAAAAATCGATTTTCTGAACAATCCCAGTCCCAACTGATTCGGATAATCGATGCTCTACTGTAATTGAAAGCAACAAAATATCTATCATAAAACTATTTTCTGATGTATATAAGTTAAATATATTTATGATTTTCCATCAATAATTAATTTGATAAAGATATTTATCAATTTAATAATTTTAATGTCAATAAAAAATTCAAAAGATGAAAAACAATAGTGACAAACTTAAACTTTTACCTGTTCTTCACTCATTACATGAATCTCATCTCTGGAAATAATTTCTTGTACATCTGNATTTGTTCATTTTAACTAGATTACAGGTGATAGCTGGTGTTTTTATTTTGGATATTCTTCATATCTTGTTAATTCTAAGCAATCATCATCCACTTTGAAGAAGAGATGGAAGAATTTTCAATTCAAGAGGATATATGCACAATTGGAACCTATTGAAAATGATAACTGAAAAGCTTTAAGCTACATTTATTAACAAAATCAATTGTTGATAGCATATAGATACAAGCCACATTATTGCATTTAGCTAGACTGGAAGTATAAGACATATAATCATAGCACACCCAGAAGAGTATCAAGGAGTCTTGGCATCCTCCAAAGAAAAGGGAAAACAAACACTAGAAAATAATCATCCAACCATCAGCAAAATTAATTGGGCAGAAATTATGCTACAAATATTAATTAGAAATGCCATTACTAGAACAACTAGCAATAGACATTAACGTTCTAGTCATAATTTCTAATTAATATTCATTGCATAATTTCTGCCTGATTAATTTGGCTGATTATTAATACATTGGGTTCTTGGGATGTTTATAAAAAGTAGAAAATTTTCCAAAAATCTTTCCTTAATTAAAATTGTTTTGTTTATTTATTTAAAATTGTGTTGTGTTTTCTATTTCTACACTACTTATGAACAATGTACTACATACAATGGGAATTTTACTGAATTTGTATAAAAAACTTTTTATCCATTCAACTTGGCTCTTGCCAAAATTAAATCCTGAGTGAACCATTGCATATAATACATGTTAAATACACAGGAATTTAAAGGAAATGCATATGAAATAACAAAACGTTTTTGCCACACAAAAGGTTTATTTTTCATACTTTGACACAAAATTTAGGTTAGACGGTAATAAATTTGTGATTACATTAAAGCAGGAAACAAATAATTCTGCTTTAAATGACTATAAAAATGAAATGATTAGATTATTGAGGTATTCTAACAATTTACAACAACAGCTACTAAAGATAGGTACAGGTTTGACATTATAAAGAGCTATTGAATTATGGAAAATGTTTAATAAGCAAGCACAAATGATAATGATACGGTTAAAAAATCAGATAGAATAAATCATGTGGAGGGATAGTGCAGATGGGAAGAGTAAATGAAAATAATTCTGAAAAAATTTTATACAGATATGTTATTGATGCAATTGCACTGGATATGTAGCAAGAATTGCTCAGTATTTTCATAGATCTGCAACAAATGTGAAAAAAAAGCATTTAAAAATAGCTTGAAGATCTAAAGTTAATATAGCAAAAGATTTAAATAAAGATATGAAGAGACATATCAGACAATTTGAGAAGGAAATAAGAAGTTAAAAGCCTCAGAAAAAAAAAAGTGTTATGCTTTCATCATTAATGTTGAAGGATAAATTCTCATGATTGGGGAAACAGAGAAAATAGATGTTATTCTAAGAGGAATTAAAGTACAAATAATTATTGATTTGGTGTCTGCTTGTAACATTGTGGATAAAAATATTCTTTTTAAGTTTTCAAAGTTTCTAAAAAACTTTTTACACATACAGAAATAAAAATCCATTGAAAATTCTAGAAGCTTTTATGCCATTGATCTAGCCAGTCACTAGAGAGAAAGAAACTCGAGCAGAAGTCATTGTCAGGAGAACCACTGTTAGGAAGAAGCAATAGATCTGGAGATATTTAGAATTGGTTCAATAAAGGCAACAGGATGCAGAGATTTCATAGAAGAATATAACATTTTCAAAATGCAGAAATGCTTAATGTCTTTATCAATTGGGATTTTCAGTTAAAAATTTTTAAGATAATTTCTCGAGTAGTTCAGAGGTAACTGTATAATTTCAAAGAAATACAAATCACAATACAGATAGAAAGATATTGAGAGAACTGAAGATACAACACCATCACAGGTTACACTAGTTAATATGTACAAAGAAAGACAAGAAATAGAGAATGGGCTTGGAACATGCAAATAAATCTGTCATTCAAACTATTCTTAGAGAATGATACCTAATTCCAATGAGTGAGAAACTTCTCCAAAATTTGAATGGATCAAAGGTGTACACTAAATTGAATTTAAAATGGAAATATCATCAATTTGAATTAGAAAAGAATCATGTCAGATAACAATCTTTTTACACTTACACAAAATTATTAAAGTTTGGGATTAGTTGAGCACCAGACATTTATCATACAATAATGACCTACATCAGGGATGGCAAACCTTTTTGAGTCCACGTGCCATGTAGTAAGCACAATTATCTTTAAAAATATCTATGCATACTTAAGTTTTGTACAGGTAACCCCCCGTATAACATGGTAGTTACGTTCCAAAAACTTGCCGTGTTATGCGAATCCGTGTTATACGACACAAAGAATTAATACGAAAAGGAGGGTTAGGTTCCAAAAATTAAAAAACATGCTAGTATATTTTCATAATTAAGATAAATATCTTCATTAAAATTTTTTAAAGTGACACATATTAATATAAATTAAACAATGTTTTCTTCGTCATCACTAAAAACACTATTAATTAACCGAGAGCGTTTTCTTTTTGGCAAGTTATCCTTATCCTCTGAGCATTTTTCTGCATTATCTTCAGATCCATGCTTTACCTTTTGCAAAATGTATGTAATTTTAGATTGCTTGCTTCTAGTTAAAAGGTCTTTATAAATTTCCTTATATGGTGCTAAGCACTTATGAAGAATAAAGCAAGTATGGAATAAGGGAAAAACATTCGGCAACATCAGAAGCAGAAGCGTCGCGATCTGGCAACATTGAAACAAGTTTCGAGAAGGACCACGTGTATTGACAGAAGGCGAGAAAAAAAAATTTACATACTTAAGTACTAATAGTTCACGAAAATTATTATTTTCGTGAACTATTAGTACTTAAGTATGTAAAAATTGATTACATTTCCTGTTGTACGAGGGTTTTACTCAATTCTCGAACCGTGTCAGAGTAAATCCGTGCTATAAAAGTACCATGTTATACGAGGAATGGTACCAATTCTCGAACCGTGTTAGAGTGAATCCGTGCTATAGAAGTGCCGTGTTATACGGGAGTTACCTGTACTTCAAATAACAATATTTAAAATGAAACAAACACGTGCTTTAATTGGAATAAATGTAAAGAAGCTGATTAAAAAAAGATGATCAAATGATAAACTGAAAATATTATTAAAACAGATGGGTGATAAACCGTAATCATATGACACGTTACAAGCTGATTGCTTCTCCCAATGTGCCATTTTAAGTATACATGCTATAAGTTCACCATAACCAGTTTAAGCATTAATAAATGCAATGAAAACATGAACAAATGTTAAAAATTATTATATTATTTCTTATAAAAAAATATTCTAAACAGATTTTCTTCTAAAATGTTAATTTTAAAATTGTTATGTATTTATTTTTATTAATATAATTAATAAAATGTTGTTGCTTACCCTGCATCTATACCTTGAATAGTTATCTCTTTTTGCTTGCTTTCTATCATGTCATGAGTGAACATAGCATGAAAATACGGGACAGTTGCCGCTAAAATAATTCTATGTGCCGAAAAGATTATGTTGTCAACCTAAAAACAAATAACAACTTCATTACTAATCTTTCCAAACCTATCAATTATAGCACATAAAATAAAGCTACAAATCATGTAATATTAATATAATTTTATAATTAATATAACATAATATAATTTTATTTCATGTTTAGTGAATCATTTGTCATAAAAGATATAGAGAAATTAAATATATGTAATAAAATTTTTATTGCATATGTTATTTATAGAAACATTAAATGCAAACTTTCTGCAAAAATAAATAAAATAATAACATTTGTATTTTCTTACGACTTATAACAACTTTACTACTGTAAACACTGCAATATATTACAGAAAATATATAATTTAAATGAAAATTAGAATCAAATAAACTACAAGTTAAAAAATCAAATGCATATTATTCTGACCTCATCGCATTGCCGGGGTGCAATTTTTATTTATATTTTAATTTAAAAACACTTTTGATCCAAACCAGAAGTTCATATATAATTAATTAGGACCACCAGCACCAAAGCTTTTAATCTTCCAATTTTAGCAATTATCTCATCAATAGTCATTCACACACATTAGATAATAATATCAAAATTAATGACGTGGATATCATCTAAACTTTATTATCAACAATGACGTCACTAGTAAGAAGAAACCTTTGTAAACAGTGACGGTGTCTGAATATCTGCTAACTGACGTTCCATCCGACCTTATTGTACCTGAAGAAGGCCATTCAAAACAGCCGAAGATGTTTGTACTTAGTGATTAAACTGCTAGAAACAAAGTGTGAAAGGTTTGTCTNTAAAATTCCACATAGAGATCCAAAGTCATTTGAAGATATATTGGAATTACCAAAGGAAGAAAATCTAAAATGGGAAAAAGCAATGAGTGAAGAAATTAATTCCCTAAAAGAAAAGGAAACTTGGAAATTAGTTGATTTACCACAAGATAAAAGAGCAATAGTATGTAAGTGGGTTGTCAAGACAAAGTATGATGAAAATGGAAGAGAAACAAAATGCAAAGCGAGATTAGTAGCAAAAGATTATGATCAAAGATTTGGAATTGACTTTGATGAAACATTTGCACCAGTTGTTAAACATACAACTATTAGAGCAGTTTTAGCTGCAGCTGCATATAAAGGAATGAAATTACATCATGTTGATGTTAAAACTGTAATTTTAAATGGAAAATTAAGTGAAGATGTTTACTTGACACAACCTATAGGATTTGAAGAAAAAGGAAAATAAGGAAAAGTATGCAAACTACAAAAGCTATTTATGGTCTTAAACAAGCTGCCAAAGCATGGAATGAGGCAATAGCGACAACTCTAATTAATCAAGGTTTTAAACAAAGCAAAGCTGACATCTGTTTGTTTACCAAGGGTAAAGGGAAANATTCAGAAACCATAAAAAGATATAAAATAAGTTTTTTTTTATATCACTTATAAAAATCAGTC